CTAGGAAATGCATGAACCCTTTCACCACCAATTAAGTTAATTTGAAGCACTAATGTCTCCCAACTCGGATGAGATGCAGCTTATCAACTAATCTACTTCTTATAAAGAAGAGGTTTCTGCTCTCTCGCTCTTTTTCTTCCACTAGTATTTAATGAAAAGTGTAAATGTTCCTTTGTTACCAAGCTAGGAAACCTGTACATCATAAACCATATAGATAAAGAGTGCAACACATACACATGTGCATGGGGATGTATATGCATGAATACAAATGCCTGCACTTGCTGATATATCTGTATCTGGATGTATATTTATATCTCTGACATTTGCCATCTGTTGGAAGTGTAATATCAGGAATAAGCATCTGGCACTGTTTTGTGTGGTAGGGCCTTCTGACAGCTGATGCTAAGGAATGCTGTACCTTTGGGGATGAAGGAGTGGTTAATTAGGACAAGAAAAACATACAGCAGAACATAAAATTCCCATATTGAAAGCGTTTCAAGGCACTCTGATTTGGTTTTCATCAGCACACAGCCTAAAACCAACCCCGACCTAATGTTTTCAGTGATATCTCATCATCAAGTTTAGGGGAATTTAAAGGTGAAATATGCAAGATATTAATAAAATTTCTTGATAATGCCACATCCGGAATTGCCCAATTGCAAACACTGAACACAGGGAGACACTGAGAAAAGGTTCCTGAGAAATAGGCTGCAAGGGGTAGAGTGGGGTACTGTGAGCACCATATGGTGTACTGTGGGTTACCCACAGGTTAATGGGTGCAAAACATTGCAAGCAAATGTGAAATTCAAGCTGTTCAAAGACTAAAATGTTTTTGTAGCTATCAGGTGCAATTATTCATTGCTCTCCAGGTTAGAATGTGCTTAAATTAGTTGTATTAAAGTTGCTGCATTTATTGCACCCATTCAGAAAACCTCCAAGGACTGTCTTTTGTTATCTGTCTTTGCAACCCTTTGCTGGGTGAAAAGTAAGAAATTAAACAAGGAGGCATTTGAAATATTATTTTCTTCTCTTCCAGAGCAGATCAGTCTCATGATTTGAAATATAAACAAGTTTAGCAAAGGAAAATCTACCACCTCTTCAATCTCACATCATGTTGGGCAAAGACGCCTCTCATTTCTTTGTTGTGCATTGTTTTACAAGTGAATTAATCCCAATTATAACCAAGTACAATGTGTAGTTTGGAGGTATATCAAACAAGCTATCTTCCTCTGAGGAAGTGGGAAAGTTTGCTGCTCTCTAGAGCTGGAAAACTCAGAAAGAACATTTGAAACCAGAAGTATATTCCAATTAATGTAATCTGTAAGGATATAAATGTAAGGAAAAGTCTGGTCTGCTTTGCTATGCACATGTACATACACAGGCACACGCACACACTTTTATTTTCATTTCATACAACCATTTGATTCTTAGCAGACATCAAATGAAATCCACATAATCAGCACTTTCAGAAATTTCCATTTTGTCATCTTGTTTAATATTCTCCAGAATGATAGGATGATATTTTGGGGATTTGGGTTGGATTTTTAGTAGGCCTAACTGTGTAATTTAATAGTTGACTCATATCTTCTTGTTTCAAGAAAATGACATACATTTTTAGGAAAAAAATCTAGTTCCACTATTATAAAACACCTCGAAAAATTAACTTACAGGTGTTACATATGCATATGCAGATGTCTTTAATTATTCCCATAGACTTCACTTAAAATTTTCTAGTCCCCCTAATGTCTCAGATTTCTCTTTTCTGAAGGCTTCTGTTGATATCTGTTGTTTTCCTTACTATCTGCACTACCTGACTTTTGCCTCTAAAACATGGTGGGTGCAGCTGCACATCAAACTTGATATTAACTTGAGAGACACCGTATAAACTTCTCAGTGTAGAAGTTCTCTGTTCTGAGATGAGAGGGCTAGGCCATTAAAGCTATCTCAGCTCCTCAATGATGACTGAAAATATTTATTAGACCAAATAAAGGGGAATCTTTTTTTTCATCATTTCAGGAAAAACTGATGTGTGGTTGTGCTCAGAAGTGAGGCAAAAAAGAATCCCTACTATAGTAGTATGGCAGCACTAGACAAGAATAATCAAACCCAGGGGTGCTGAGTGAGGTACACGCAGGAAAACAGAGGCAAGGCAGAGATTGGTCAGATTGTGTGTGGAGGACCCTGAGGCCTTAATTTCACTTTAGCAATTAGGGCAGGGATTCAGAATGTAACCCAAACTACAGAGCTGCCTTCAGCAGCTCTCAGAGGGATTCAGAGGAAGCCCCAGGATAATTCCAAAGGCCTGCTTTGTTGATAGTGGAAGTAGGGTGTGGGAGTGCAGGGCATCCCTCTGGCTGCCCTGGCAGGTCTGGGACCCTGGCAGGGGTCAGGAACCCCCCTGGACAGAACCCCAGAGACACTGTCTGTGATCTCTGGCCATGGAAAAGAGTTTTCAATCTTACATGATGAATTACAAGCTCTGAGTGTTTGATATCATTAATAATTAAGTGTGGCACAGGTGCAAAAGTAAAATTTTAGGATTCTAGATTAGGGGTTCAAAGGGGACAAGATGGAGGAAATTGGGTGTGTCTTGTCCTTTTTCTCCTTCTCCATGCCCTCCATGTCTCACTGTGGTGTTGGCATTTTTCT